GATTAAATACCAGACAGTGCATTTCATATTAACAATTCCTTGTTGTTGTTTTTTACACTGAGTCGAAGATAAAGTCGCTGTAAAAAGGAAATTGGCAATGAAATGTATTCTACGGTCTCCCATCGAACATCGACTGAATTCAAGCGAATTTAGTGAGGCATAAACCACGTGAGTCGCGTTCTATTGTTACTCATTTATTCCAGAAGTAAATTCGTTTATATTTCCAGTCGCATTAGAAACGCGATCTCGTTATGCTGGCTGGGATGGACTGTTTACTTGCGAAAATTGCATTCTTCAGTTTCTTCTCTCCTATTTAGGTTCTTTTTACTGCGCAGCATGTATTTCCACGTCATTTCTAAAGGGGGGAACTCGTTTGTAATTAAGAGCTGTGTGCTGGAGATGGAGCGGTTCTGTTACTTTCTAATTCAAGTGTAATTTACGTTACTCTCTGATTAGGATTCCAATAACAGAGCATGCCGTAATATAAATTAGATTAAATTTGAATTGAGATTTCTTGTGCAAGCCAGCCGAGTGTTCTATGGGCATATCGTACTTACCAGAAAGTTCCATCGAACTTAGTATGTAGTGCTCATAATATGTAATTTTTTATTCGGTTAAATAAAGTGAATGTTGAATGGATATTGAGTGAATGTTGAGGCTTGTTCGAGTTGCTCTTAATTTGCGTTACAGTGTATTTGCAATTATACATGTCATTGTTAGATAATTGATCGTGTGAGTGACATTGTCTCCTCCTCATTCGTGGCTATACAATAACTAAATTCAACATTCATTCAACTAGTTACATGACTTGTACTATTCCCTTGTAGTTCTAATTTTGCTAAGGTCTTCTGTTACGTGATAGAAAATTTGTCCGCATGGAACGTGTAAAATTTTGATTATATAATCTTCCCGTAATCTTTTATTATTGATCATTTCAGCAAATGACATGGCACATGATTGAATTAAATGCTTCTATTCTTTGATTACTTAATTTGTCATTTATTATTATCACTCTTAGAACAATTTGACATATAAAAATTCTATCCAAATCATAGTTATATAATCCGTATATTTCATCCAAATTATTGTTACTTTGCTTAATAAATCTCATCAAAATCACCATTATAGATTACACATTAATTATATCCAAATCACATATGTATTTACCCCATCCATCTCTTTTTATTTACTATTTATATTCCAATCGATGGCTAAAACATTTAGCCATCTCATGATGGCGTTCGGCTGCCACTGGTTGGAAGTGATAAAACTTTTTATGGTCGTCCACTTATTGAAGCAATTCACGATTTCCCGAATGGATATTCGAGCAGCTGAGAGAATCGCGCTTTGGTTGAAATGAAAATCTGCTAATTTCTTGGCATCCACTATCCATCCATTTCTCACTAGCAGCTGCGCGGGAGCTGATAGTGAGCTCTTAAAATTATTTGAGTTTTCCTTTGCAGTATTTTGCAAGCTCAACCTGATGAAATGTTCCTTATGACCTTATGACCTTATGATGAGTTTAGGACGTCGCAGTCCAAGGTCACGCTGATGCGCCGCCTTCGTCGTCCTCCGTCTCCGAGTCGTCGTCCGATGCACCGAGTCGTTCCAATGCAAACACACACGTTTTATTTACAACTATCCCAGTTTTTTTCGATGTCACTAGTTATCACACTGAAAAATTCTAATTTATTTTTACATTGAGTATCTCTGAAATCGAGGGATTTTTTTAGATTTTTCTACATGTTCTTAAATTATTTTTTTATCTGATATTTACTTGCCAGCTATTTTATTTAAAGATTCTGTTCACGTCCTTCTGAATTATTCAACTCAAGATCCGTGAGCAGACTTTTAACCACAAAACAGAGAACTCATTTATTGAAATTAAGTAAAATTTGAGCGGGGTGCTGAAATTATTTCAATAAAATAATTAAAATATGCACTTGATTTTAACATGTTATTCGTTCACACGTAATTGCCTAACTTGCCCTTTAGTTTAATTTCATTGTGGTGCGTACAATTCTTGTATTATTTACATTTACATGTTCATTACTGAAATTAAGCACTAAAAACAGAAAAAAATCTTTTTTAATTGTACACGAGGTATATATGGGAGATCTTACACTCCTAAAAAATAAATATTGAATCATAAAATTTTTTATTAAGTACTCCTTATTTACTTAATTCAAATTTTGTTACATTTGTTACTACAAATATAAAATGTTAGAGAGTCGGCATATTCCGCATTTGTGTCGCTTATTATATTTAAAGAGTCGGCATATTCTTTCTTATGGCATTCTAAATTCTTGCAAAAGCTTCTCGAAAATTGCAGTGCGTTAATGCAAGGCAAGTTTATTCATAGTAACAAGGCTTAAGTATGCAGTCTCCGCCCATGATCTAACTTCTTTCACTCTAAATTCCTGGCCGAACATCAGAAAGGCGAGAATGTTGTCAAGCCAATCTTGCGCTCCATAGCTTCAAGATCCGACGTATATTCCAAGACTTTGTCCGGACCTGCGGAAGTTTCGTAATGTGTCGGCATGCCGGGACTCTGAGATTTATTATAAAGTAAAGCTGAACATTATGGAAGAGTCTGTTGATAAATGTCAAGCAAGCAATAAATTTATTCAAGAAATTTGAAATCGTTCAATTTATTCACCTTTCAACTGTAACGCTCATTATCAACATCGATTTAACACGCTCCTTACATTACATCATAAAATTTACGTCGAATTTCTTCTCAAAAATTTACTGACAATTTTACGAGAAAAATAACTTGACGGAATTATCTTCATTTCTCTTTATTTTTTTATTTAATTTTTATTATAATTATTATTTTGACTTTTACTGTGTTCATTTTTTTCTTCTCTGAGCCATTATATCTATGTAAAGGGACGAAATAAAAGTCGTCGTTCGCACCGTAAAAATGTTCGCAAATTTTTGTTGTGTGTCTTTTCCTTGCCGTTGCAGAATTTTGTTTATGCAGTATATTTTGGCTCGAAGTTCACGGCACCAAAGGATTCATGAGCCGCAGACGCAACCTGCCTATCGTCTTTGTGTGTAGCTTGTATTTTCTTTGCTTAATAGAATTTCTTAAGATTTACCGGACTTGCTTTTAAATAAGTTTTCATTTACTGAACTAAAACAAGGTTTACAATTAGGAAATTAATCGTTGTAAGCAACGTTATATTTACTAAAATATATTCTGATTTCTCAACTAATACTTACTCATATACTGGGTAGTAGTCACACAGTTACTGGGCAATACTCTCCCAGTTACTGAGTAATACTAACTCAGCTTCTGAGCAATACTCAACCAGTTACTTCCACTCTAAAATCCTCGTCAGTGTACAGATAATACATTTGAAAGTAATTGCAGTTGTTGCAGATTTGCGCCTTAGTTCTGAATATGGCAGCATTTTCGATGGGAAACTTTTCTGGAAACGTAGCCTGATTAACCATAAAATTCACTGATGAATTCAATACTTAAATTTTACTAAGTTTATTCTTTAAGGCCCGGGAATGTCGATACAATAACTTGTATTAGTCTATCTCGTCTCTAGACGCGAGCGAAGTTATTAATGCAATTAAGTAAATAATTCAAAGTTATTAATTGAAATTAATGAACTAATTTAAAAAAATATTTTGTTTAGCAGGGTGAAATGTTTTTAATTCGTATCATTTTCATTACTGCAGTACGTTTTTTCAATGTTTTATTTGGCGTTGTGTAACTAAACCAATAGTTTCAAATGCCACTCTTTTGTGGATATTTATTTTATCGTTGTATTTTATTTATACCGTAAAGAAATGAATAATAGTTTTGCATTCAAAGTAACCTTGAACCCAAGAGAACCTTGAGTCCAATATAACCTTGAATACAGAAAGATATGAAAAATGTTTCATCGTATTTAAGCCCACACGTATGAATTTCTGTGCGTTATTTCCTGAACAAAAGCACGAGCCTGCAAACAAGGATTTTGTTGAATTTCTAAAATGCTCTCACTCTCTCCGACGGAGAAAACTCGGACGTCATCTTTTCATGTTGCTATGCTCTCGGCAGACCGCGCGGATCGGAAACTCGACAGGAAAAGTCTACGGTTTTCACAACCAGCATTTACATATCAAACTCTCAGAGCTCTGTGCTAGGAAAATCAAACTGAATAATCATTCTGGTTTATCAGGTCGTGACCTTGATTAAAATAAAACAGGAAAAACTCAAAATCCAAAATTTGAAGGAAAATGTTTCCACTCGTCTAATGTTCGTTTTGCATTCAATATTGTCCCGATAATATCATTTCAAATTTGTGTTTTGCATTACTAACATATTTACAGTGTGTGGCATTTGTTTATAAATAGTGTGGTACTGAGTTTCACTGTGCGTGTCTCAGTTCAAATGCTAGAACAAAGTTTTCAATTCCCAATATGATATAAGTACGAGAGAAATCATCACTTCATTTTAAATAATTTGCAGTGGAAATGATATTAGTTCACTATTTCCATCACTTTGCAATAATTAGATGATTTCATGTTTTTTGCGCTCACCAGCAGATGATTATGCCGCTACGATGATTATAAAGTTTATTTAATGACAGGTATGGCGTGCTTTCGGGTAATTCAATTTTCAGGCATAATTTACATGGGGAATGTCAGCATGCATCCTAGATATGCCACCGGGTCCTGATCCTTTAATTCAACGGAATAATTTACCATGTAAATTTTCTGTAATACAGGGATTTGAACCCGCTGACTGTGGTTCACACTATTGCAGGTATCATGCATACGGTCACTCGACCTGCACCTGCTGACAGTGGTTCACACTATTGCAGGTATCATGGATACGGCCCCGTGACCTGCACCTGCTGACAGTGGTTCACACTATTGCAGGTATCATGGATACGGTCCCGTGAACTGCACCTGCTGACAGTGGTTTACACTATTGCAGGTATCATGGATACGGCCCCGTGACCTGCACCTGCTGACAGTGGTTTACACTATTGCAGGTATCATGGATACGGTCCCGTGACTTGCACCTGCTGACGGTGGGACGGTTCACGTACACGAGTGACGATCGGTTCAAGGCGGTTCACCAGAAGGGTTCCGACGACTGGCTACTCAAGATCCACTACGTGCAGCACCGCGACGCTGGCAAATATGAGTGTCAGGTATCCACCACTCCACCACTCAGCCACTCCGTCTGGCTCTCCGTCGTGGGTGAGTGGCTGTGAATTTAATAGTTTCTTTTTTTTACTGAGTGGCGGTAAATAGTTATTGTTTTTTCGAATTAGTGGCGTAGCCCAATTATTTTTTTCAATTATTTGTGCGTGAATATGCTTTATTGGGGCTTGTCTGTTCAGATAATTATTGGGGTTGATTTCATAGGGTTGCATTCCAATGGTTACTTTCGGAAGGTAGCGTTCAGAGAGTTGCATTCCGATTTTTGCGTTCTTTGGGTTGCCAAACGTTAATGGGTTACGTTAATAAGTCAGAACAAGCACTAGCAAGAAGCATTCCATATGATTATATATTCCATTATATCCATAATGATTAACTAATTAGAATTTTCCTTCTTCTATAATTTACAGTTGTCATGAAGGCCGTGAATTTTATCGTATATCTGCAGGCTTACTACTCAGATTGCCAGGCTTAGTGCAATAAATGAATGAAATTTATATCGTAGCTACGGTGCTCTACTCGGCCGTGATTCTGTCTCTGGCAGCGATGTTACAAGATTGTATTTAATTATTGCACTTGATAATGGTTTTCTAGTAACATCTTTGAACACGACTAATTTTGATGAGGTTTATTTGTTTTCTATTCGAACCGCTTCCATAAATTATTGTTCGCTCTTATATAACAAAAGATCCCCGTTTTGACCACTTTTCGGTGAGTGTTTGGTTTGATTCACATTCCAGGGAAGCCAATCAAAATACTGAGAAATCAACATTGATCTGCAAGTTCAATTTTTAAGTTAATTTGATTTTAGTGCTGACAATTAAAGCTTCATTTCTTTTTATTCTTATGCGACGATAGATACTGTAGTGCAGGTAACGTAGTGCAGGTAACATAGTGCAGGTAACGTAGTGTAGGTAACGTAGTGCAGGTAACGTAGTGCAGGTAACGTAGTGCAGGTAACGTAGTGCAGGTAACGTAGTGCAGGCTGTCGTAACGTAGGTAACGTTGCCGTAGTGCAGGTAACGTGGTAGGTTGTCGTTTACTAGCGCTTCTCGTCGAGCGCCTTTGGCACAACATACGATTTATTTCTTCCCTACGGTCATCGAGTGTAAAATTGACGTGACATTACAGCTGTAGCAAGTCAGGAAATTGCTGAGGTAGTAGGAGACAGGACTATGCGGTAGCAAGCCAGGATATTACTGCGGTAGCAAGTGAAAGGATATTTTGGTGTAGCAAGACATGATATTGATGCGGTAGCAAGAGATGCGATATTGCAGCTGTAGCAAGAGACTGGATATTGCTGCTGCAGCAAGAGACAGGATATTGCAGCGGGAGCAAGAGACTGGATATTACTGCTTTAGCAAGAGACTGGATATTGTAGCTGTAGCAAGAGACTGGATATTGCTGCAGTAGCAAGAGACTGGATATTGCTGCAGTAGCAAGAGACTGGATATTGCAGCTGTAGCAAGAGACTGGATATTGCATCAGTAGCAAGAGACTGGATTTGATGCAGTAGCAAGAGGCTGGATATTGCAGCTGTAGCTATTGCAGCTGTAGCAAGAGACTGGATATCGCATCAGTAGCAAGAGACTGGATAATGCTGCAGTAGCAAGAGACTGGATATTGCAGCTGTAGCAAGAGACTGGATATTGCAGCTGTAGCAAGAGACTGGATATTGCAGCTGTAGCAAGAGACTGGATATTGCGGCTGTAGCAAGAGACTGGATATTGCTGCTGTAGCAAGAGACTGGATATCACATCAGTAGCAAGAGACTGGATATTGCTGCTGTAGCAAGAGACTGGATATTGCAGCTGTAGCAAGAGACTGTATATTGCTGCTGTAGCAAGAGACAAGATATTGCATCTGTAGCAAGAGACTGGATATTGCAGCTGCAGCAAGACACTGGATGTTGCTGCTGTAGCAACATAGTGCAGGTAACGTAGTGCAGGTAACGTAGTACAGGTAACGTATTGCAGGCTGTCGTAACGTAGGTAACGTTACCATAGTGCAGGTAACGTAGTGAAGGTAACGTAGTGCAGGTAACGTAGTGCAGGTAACGTAGTCCAGGCTGTCGTTTACTAACGCTCCTCGACGAGCGCCTCTGGCACAACTTACGATTTATTATCTTCCCTACGGCCATCGAGTGTAAAATTGACGTGATATTGCAACTGTAGCAAGACTGGATATTGCAGCTGTAGCAAGAGACAGGATTCTGCTGCTGTAGAAAGAGACTGGATATTGCAGCTGTAGCATTAGACATGATGTTGCTGCTGTATCTCTGCTGACCGAGAACGAGGGTCGTGCTTTACCTCGTATTTACCCTCGTGATGGCGGCGGGTTTACTTCTCGTGCTCTGAGGGTTAATCCATGTTTAGAAGCCACCATCCATTATGGAAGTTTACATACCGCCTTATCATGGCCGATTTATCGTTGGCCATTGATAGCCCGGGTATAATGCAGCATCAGTGACACCCATACTCTCCTATGTCATCGCCCTCGCCGAGAATCCCTCATGTTGCGAGGGAAATTGACTGCCCTCTTGGAAATTGTAGTCGGTTGTTCAGTGGGTGTAGCAGTTTGAGCTCACTCACAGAAATGTGTTGGGCAATGTCCAAATAGCGAAGCACTTCTTTTGTTCTTGTGGTGTTAATCCATACCCAGTTTGGCATGGCAAAAAGAGTTAACGTATCAGAGCTACGCACGCTCTCTGCTCGTGATGTGGTCAAGAGTAATATTATTTGGATAACATGTAAATAAAATGTTACTTAATAAAATGTTACATTGAATTTTCCATTAATACTCATATTTACTTCGAATTTCTAAATTTGATAGTTCGATTTAATTTATGTACTTTGAAAAAAATGAAAAAAACAACTGATGGCACTATCAACATCTTCGAAAATAAACTCTGATCTTTGATCACTCTCAGGACTAATATTTGTATTTACAATCGTTATGTGAAAACAAAATAAAGAATTTCAGGATTTTGATACATTGTTTTTCTTCTTGGATCAGAATTCAGAATAATAAATAATTTCAGAATCCTATTGGAAAGTTCGAATGACGCTCGCCAAAATTTTCTTTTCTCCTGAAACGTTTTTATTTCAAACAATGCAAGCCGCGGATTTAGGGGCAAGTGTCCGAAAGTGAACAATTATGAAGTGTGTGCTCGTTCTTTTTGATCAATAAATTTTCGTCCAATACAAATTTATTCAGAATCATTTAATATATTTAATATAGAGATTCACAGTTGACAGTATTTTGGTGACTGGAACTTCAAAATAGGTAGCTTAAAAACTTTTAACTTCATCCAAAAACAGCAAATCCCGTTGGAAAAAGATCACTAAAAACCACTACTGTATTTCCATACAAAAATAAGTGCTACAACATCATGATTCAGAAATATAATAATATATCAGGATCTTTCCGCAACAATCTCAAGTATAGTAACTGCAATAACCACGTGAGCAACAACTGAAGCTACTAACAATCATGAAATTTTCGACGTTATCACAACGTGTAGAACAAAATTTTGAACCAAGATTACATTTTATGCCATACAATAATGCCGAGGGAAAATATAATTTATATATTAGAAGATTGTAAAGAAAGAAGATATTAAAGCAGTACAACATCATATCAGTACAATACCTTTCTAAAAATGTCTGACTATTCAGCGCATTTGATATTTGTTTACGAGTAGTTCGAGGGCGCTCGATATGTTGTAACATTTGAACAAAATATTATTATTAATCTGATAATAAAACAGTACACGGCGATAATAATCCGTTGTTGTTATTCTCCTGTATCTTTTAATCTAAAATTTAATATTGAAATCTGTTCGGTAATGAAAGTGAACGATATTCACACGATGTACGTTTTTTAGGTCGTCCTTATGTTCATTTTTGCAGAAGCTTCTTATTTACCTTCATTTTTTTTTATTTATCATTGATGTGTCCAGTATCCATTTATATCTACGATATCTACTGATTTATCCCATATCCATTTATGTGCACAATGTCCATTGATATGTCCAGTATCCACTGATGAGCAACTGTGCCAAGATAAGGCTTATACCCATTAATATGTTTAATATCCGTTGATGAGCCATTATCCATTTACGGGCCCAATATCCATTGATGGGCCCAATATCCACTTATAGGCCCAACATCCATTAATATTGCCAATATCCCCTAATGGAGCCACCGCCCAGGATATGGCTGATGCTGTCTGTCCCACAGAGCCCACGACGCTGGTACTGGGTGGGCCCGACCTGTACCTCGACGCTGGGTCCACGCTCAACCTGACCTGTGTGGTGCGCTTCAGCCCTGAACCACCGCCCTACATCTTCTGGTACCACGAGGACAAGGTGAGGTGCCCTACATCTTCTGGTACCACGAGGACAAGGTGAGGTGCCCTACATCTTCTGGTACCATGAGGACAAGGTCAAGTGACAAACATCTTCTGGTACCACGAGGAAAAATTAATGAAAAATGCATTCACTATTGAATCGTTTTTTTATATTCAGTGAAAGAAGATCTCGCCGCTTTGGCGCCTCGTGCTATTCGTAAACACGTACATTCTTTAGTCCAGCTTTTTGTGTGTTAATTTTATGGCATACTTCGTTCTCCATTAAAAACTTACTATTAAAACCTTATAGTCGCTGATCAAATAAAATTTCATTTTGTAATATATTACTGTATTTATTGTATCTCCTAGAATCGTATTTAATAAAATACTTTTATGATGTACTCATTATGTTAATGGCTACAGTCGTGCACTATGTATGGCCTGACCGCGTCATAAGAGCATGAATTATTGTATTATTTATGCATTACATTTCTGAGTAAGGCATGATATTTACAATAAATTATTACTTTATCAGTGAAGAAGGATATTATCAGTATATCTGAATCTTATCCGTGCATCATGATCTTATTAACGAATCGCAATGTTATCAATGAGCCGTTATATCTTCAACAAATTTCAATGTTTCAACTAAATATTGATTATATGAATAAAAATTGATCTTATCACTTAAACACGATCATATGTAGCCTTAGAGCAAATTCGTATTATCATCTGCCTTAGTATTTTCCTCTTTTATATACATAAGCTCATACAATAGTTGTTTGTATGAAGTTGATTGATTTTTAATTGTATTTTCGGATAAATCGTACGTTTTACGGAAAATTTTTCAACCGTCAAGCGTTTTTTTTTCACATTCGCCGTAACTAATTCCACCGACTTTGCTGTGCGTTATGTTGTCCCGACACAGAATTTTTTTTACGAAAATGAGTGCTCGGAAATTTTTGAAACTCGTTCCCTAGACAAGCGTTTGAAAAGTCCTGCTTTGAGGGACAAAAGAGTTATATATCATGAGAGAAATGAATGTGTTTTTTTAAGTGAATAGGTCTTGGTATATTTTTGTGTACAAAAAATATGTACTATGTACAAAATATTTCATGTGTACTAAAAATAAATTCTGACATTACAGAATTTCCCTCAAATAAACGGCGTGTGATTAAATTGCTGGAAAAATTTTTCATTTTGAATGTTTTTTCCTAAAACTTCTCTAACGAAATTAAAAAAAATCGGTTACCAGAATACGAACATTAAGCCGAGCTTTTTTTCTAACGTTCAGCGCTGTTCAATAACCAGGAGAGTTTTGGGCCGTAAAAAGTTCATTAAATTGAAATGTTCTGAAGTTGCTGTCCTATAAATCCAAGATTTCACTGCAGCTTCTTTATACGAAGCCAGGCGTGTAATTTAGCCAAGTGTGGTGGTTTCCCTGGGGAGTTTGGCGTTGAATGAATATTGTAGGAGTTACATCACTCTAGGGTATAGCTACAATACACCAATGTGTTGAATCCAAGTCAGACGACTCACGCTAAGCAGTTAAATCACTCTTGGCTATAGCTACCATACACCAATGTGTTGTACAGGAGTCAGACGACTCACGCTAAGCAGTTAAATCACTCTTGGCTATAGCTACCATACACCAATGTGTTGTACAGGAGTCAGACGAAACACATGCTAAGCACTCAAATCACTCTAGGCTATAGCTACCATACACCAATGTGTTTTACAGGAGTCAGACGACACATGCTAGCTAATCAGCTACATCACTCTAGGCTATAGCTACAAAACACGAAAGCGTCTGCCAATGCTGAAAATATAGAAGTCTAATTAACCTCCGCTTGCTCGAAAAATGTATTCCAAAATAAATGTGCCTAATCATTCAAATTACGTATATGTAATTTTTATTATTATAATCAGGAAGCGGACGAACGTTCTGTTCCGAAACTGTCATTGAATCGTTGCTAATAAGTACTTCATTTCAATTTTATAAATTACTTCATTTCAATGAATAATAATTACATTGCATTTTGCTGAAAACATAATTAAAATTTCAACCTCGCACTCTGAGTAAATTTTATCTCGGGGGAATATAAAGATTTGGGGTAAATAATGTTGAAACCACGTAAAACCAAGATGATCTAGTCCATTTTAAAATCAATAATATTCAGAATTATTTTACACTGTTTTGATAAGAAACTGTTTCGTAAAATATGCATGCTATAATGACAAGTCGAAGAGGTTGTCGTAACGTTACCTCTTCACGAGTCTCCTTATACACGTGTCAGGTCGTAACCCAACTCTTAACCAAAGTCGTAACCCAAGTCGTAATCCAAGTCGTAACCAAATTCGTAACCAAAATCGTAACCCAAGTCGCAACATAAGTCGAAACCCAAGTCGTAACCGATGTCTTAACCCTTTTCGTAACCCATGTCGTAACCCATGTCGTAAACCATGTCGTAACCCATGTCGTAACCCATGCCGTAACCCATGTCGTAACCCATGTCGTAACCCGTGTCGTAACTCATGTCGTAACCCATGTCGTAACCCATGTCGTAACCCATGTCGTAACCCATGTCGTAACCCATGTCGTAACCCATGTCGTAACCTGCTCCCGCGCAGCTGCTGAGTTACGACGCAGGGCTGCGAGGCACGACGGTAGCGACGCGTCACGGCGGCGGAGGGTCGGTGTCGAGGCTGCTGATCAGCGGCGTGGGCGCTGCACACTCAGGGAACTACACGTGTCAACCCGCCACTGCCCCACCCAGCTCAGTCAACGTGCACGTGCTTGAGAGTGAGGGCAGAGAGTGGGAGAGGGAGGGCGGAGAGTGGGAGAGGGAGAGGGAGGGGACGTATGAGTGAGGGATAGATTATGAGTGCGTACAGAAGGAAGGGTTGAGTATGTGCTGTTGAGATATCAGCGCTTAACATGTTGTAGAGGAAGTGCCGACTGGTCTTGTTGTGTTGCTATAGAAAAAACACGAAGCAGAATAAAAATTCGCCCCTAACTGCCAGTCTAAATCTGATTTCATTATTGTGAATTTCACTTTCCTTCCATTACTGCGAGTCTGAGTCTGATTCCATTACTGTGAGTCTGAGGCTGATTCCATTACTTCGATTCTGAGTCTAATTCCATTACTGCGAGTCTGGGTCTGATTCCATTACTTCGATTCTGAGTCTGATTCCATTACTGCGAGTCTGAGTCTGATTCCATTACTGCGAGTCTGAGTCTGATTCCATTACTGCGAGTCTGAGTCTGATTCAATTACTGCGAGTCTGAGTCTGATTCCATTACTTCGATTCTGAGTCTGATTCCATTACTGCGAGTCTGGGTCTGATTCCATTACTTCGATTCTGAGTCTGATTCCATTACTGCGAGTCTGAGTCTGATTCTATTACTGCAAGTCTGAGTCTGATTCCATTGCTGCAAGTCTGAGTCTGATTCCATTACTGCGAGTCTTATTGGAAGATTCCCGTTTTACGGCCTCCCGTTGTGGACGTCGAGCGTTCGAGCCTCCGTATCAAACACCAGCGCTGTCACATGCCAGAAAATGGGCTCGTGATGATAATAAGTTCAATAGTATTGATTTTCAATGACAATTTCCATCGTGGATACGTGCAAGTCAAAATACAAAGGGAATGTTTTTTTTCCTCCTAGCGCTGGTGACAAAGACTCGCGAGAGCAGGCCGTTGAAGTACAGGCCCTGTACTTCAACGGCCTGCTCGACTTGTACTATGTAGGTCTGAGAAAGTTTCCGATGCTCCGGAATAGTTGTATCTATATCCGTTTTTCGCAAGAGTACAATAATTCGGCATCAAAAAATGGAAAACTGTGCCCAAATGTGAAACAACCCGCGTAATAAAGAAGTTGTATAGATCATTCAGATCAACCGACCTAACTTAGGTCTGTATAATAAACTTGACGAATATTTGACTCACAGCCTTAGTGTAACTCTTAGACCTCCCAAAACATGGTCGTTTTAAGTAAAAAAAATCGAGCACATCACATCGCTTAGGTCTTTTCTACGAAAACTGCTTTTTGATCCTCAAATAGAATTTTCGGTACGTCCAAAATTGGTTGAAACCAATGTACGATTGGTCACCAATAACTCGTGGTCTGATTTTAAATCTGTGCCGTGAGTGGCGTCCGGTGTTTTCGTCATTGACAAATTCCTTGTTATTGGAAGCGGAAGAGTTGCAGGTCCTCCGCAGTTTAGTCTTTGTCGCGTGAACGAATTGGTGGATTTCCTCATTTTTTGGAAGGAAGCTAAATTATTTTTATTGTTTGGTCCAACAATCACTTGAGAAGACGATAGATGATAATGTTTTTAATGATGAGTTTGAATATATTTTCAAAATAACAGAAATAACACAGTTATCTAATAGGTACATACTCTCGGCCGGTCTGATGAATGTTCTTTTTTATTTTCTGTTTGTGTTACATGTATCGTGTTTTGTGTGACGTGATGACGTGTATCGTACATGATTTGCTGATTTGCATAGCAAATCATAGTTTTTGTCTTCTATATATTTAAAATTACATTAGAAATATTAACGTTAAAGCCTGTTGTTCGAACATATTTGCCACTAGTTGGTTCTACATTTCTATTTCCAACCACTGAAAACATGTCACTCTCCACTGGCCACTCGTCATTTATCTTCCATGCCAGACCATTCGTAAATAAACACTCACAACGATCATGTGTCTGACTACATATCAATTATCACGGACCACAGACTTATGTCACTCACCACTCATCAATATATCACTCACCCCACATCACTGTTCATACACCACACGTCATTCATCACTCTCCACACGTCATTAGTCACCCAACACATCATTCATCACTCAACACATTTCATTCATCACTCAGCACACGTCATTTCATCACTCATAACACGTCATTCGTCACTCACTACATGCTATTCATCATCCAGTATACGTAATTAAACACTCACGACACGTCATTCATCACTCACTACATGTTATTCACCACTCACTACATGCTAGCCACCACCCACTACATGCTATTCATCACTCACGACATGCTAGTTACCACTCACTACGTGGTATTCATCACTCACTACATGTTATTCATCACTCACTACATGCTAGTCACCACCCACTACATGTTACCATCGCTCTCTACTCGTCATTCACCACACGTCACTGATCACTCGTGTTCCAGACGAGGAGCCGGCCGCCATCCACCACAAAAACACGACATCATCGGGCGGCGGCGGCGGTGGCGGCGGCGGCGAGTCAGCAGCGCCTCTCAGTAACGGAAAACCTGCCATGAAAGATAGCGTCACCAAAGGAAGCTCCGGCAATACAAGTGCCGAGGCCAAGAGTGCTCGATCCTCCGATACTTTATCCTCGGCTCATTCTCCTCCTGCGGCTGGATCCTTGCCAGTCGTCCTGCCCGATCAAAAGGAGGCTAAATCATTGGCGAATAGCGCCGCGACGTCGACGTTATTCAAAGAATTTACGGTGCATGGATTTTCTGTCCCCGCTCTGTGTGGAGAAGGCAGAATTGAGGTTGTACTGGGTTGCGTTGCGGTGTGGTTGTTGTATAGTTGTGTGGATGTGTGGATGAAGTGTGGTCGTGTAGCTGGTAGATGAATATTATACTAATGGTTTAGTCGTTACCGTAACGATGCTCCTACATTTGCGGTGCAAGTGAATTTAGTTATTTTCGTACCAGCGACTTCACTTCTCTGATCTGCCGTTTGATCCATAAGATATGTCACTATGAATATAAATTATCGGTTCATTTCATTGACCTATGATCGATTACTAAAAGAGTGTTTCGGTTGGGGGTGGGCGTTACGATATTATTTTTTGCATTTGGCTGGATTTGGACGAAAATATTGTAGGATATTGGTTATTTTAGAGCTATCTTTCCAGCCGTTTTTAAGATTGTTCAAAAATATAACTACGATTTGCTAGATCTCCCGATAGCTGCAATAGAACGTCTTTTCTAAAGTGCAAATCATCGATTTTCATTGCCCACTCGTGTCATACGGATTATAATTTCTTTATTATTTCATATATTATCTAAATAAATGAACTGGTGTTGAGAACGTTATTTATTCTTTCATATTTATATGCTTATTCATTTGTGCAAGTCGAGCTTTGTTGTGAAAATTAGGCTAAGGGTCAGGCTGTTGGGGTCAGTTCCTGAAAATCTAAAAAAACTAAAATATCAACAACATGTTAACAATACCGAGAAAATAACAGAATCACTAACCATACCAACAAATGTACATCCACACAGGAGCCTAAATTTGTTCATTAATTCACATTAAATATTTATTTTCAACAACGAGGATTTATTTTTGTGTTGATGCGCACGAGAAGCGAGGTCGCTAGTACGATGCTCTAGACTTCACCATCGCAAGTCCATAGCATTCAGAAGTTTGATATTTTTTCTACTATTAATTCAATTTTCTAACCCGCTGATTGTTTGTAAAATATGTATAAAGGATGAATGTCTCTATTTATTGACGTTGGTGTAGCCTAGAATGCTTCTTGAGCTGAACGGCTGCTCGATGTTGAATGCATTATAATAATGAATAATTATTATAATGCGTTGCTGAAAATTATATTAATTTTGTATATGCAGTGAAAGAATCCGGGTATTCATTTATTTATTAATATGAACGATTAGGTNCGTATTTATGCGTAAATTCTTCATGATGCAATTATGTTCAATAATTAAAGTTTTCAGAACTAATTACACAACCCAGGTGTTCCATGATAAATTGCGACACGTTCCTTAATTAATTGATCGTTGACCTTCGTAGAATGTATGCGTGTGAGTTTTTTTTAAGACCAGTGCTTACAACTGTATGGCCACGCTCTACTTGTCAGGTACCGAAACTTAACAATTGAGGAAGCGTGACAAGATAAAAATTCACCAATTTTCAAAAATTTTCCCTCTACGATCCATTTTACGAACAAAACTGAGTCACAAAATTTTACGAGATCAACCCATTAATTATTATATGGTTATCGAACCCTATAAATCGTAAAGTTCACTGGTAATATAGTTTTTATCGACGAGTCGCGAGGTAAGTACAGCCTGGGTGCAGTTTCTGCTGATTTGCAACTCAAGTATCGTATGTAGTGGTTACTTTGGGTGATTGCCTAAGTTGACGTGAAACCTTTAGCGTATAAGTGGTTGTAAACAGAGCTATCAACTTGATGATGCATGGTAGCATTATTTAATTGATATGTTACGTACATTCAATATGAAATCCTTTGTTACTTCCACCCTATCTCTTTTCAGTAAGAAAGTGACAGTAAGTCTATAACATGCAGTCTGAGTATGTTGCTATGTAGCAATAGGAACATTTGTAGATAGGGTAACGTGGGGCAGCGCGCCCCCCACTTTTTTTTAACTAAAATTTTGACGAAGTTTTAATTGATACGAGGTGGTTCTTTGTTTTGTTTAAAGAGAACACGGATCAATATCTGCCATACTTAGCGAGAAACCCGCTATGGGCCCGTGACCCGCAGTGGGCTCGCTGCCCCATGTTACCCTACTATGTACACACGTAGATGAAGGAGCCCTTGCGGAATTTTTTACGAATGATAAACTTATCAATGCCCAATTGAATGATTCAATCGCTAATAATTTGTAACTTCGTAAATAATTTTTGCCGAATGAATATAATTTGTGCCATTTCGATTTAAAACCATGTGTACAAAGTACAGACTGTACAGTGTTTCCTCTCCGTGGTTTGTTGAAGAGCATCCTGAAATAGTTTTTCTATCAAAAAATAATATTCTAGAAAACGATATGCATGGTAAACTGGAGAGCTAGGATTGTAGGTGCCAATAAATAACAATTGAGCCTGTTATTTCCAATTATTTTTCCATTTTGCTAGTATACTCTGTAAGCGCATACATAATCATTCTTTCAATAGCATTCATGCGTATATTAAATTGATATAACGGGCACATGATCGAATTAAATCGAAAAATTCCGGCAGAGGCGTTCCGCGTTAGCATGACTATTTGGTTCAAAAACCATATAGAAAGGCACTAGGATGACTTTAGGCTATGGTTCAGATAAAATATGAACTGTGAACTATACATTAATACAACAGAGCTACTGAAGGCACCGGCCAGTGTACACGTAGCATGTCACGGCCAAAGTACACGTAGCGGGTGATTTCTCGTCTGTGATTGGTGGGTTTAGCTTGAAATTCCATCACACATTGACTGCTGTAGTTACGAACTCGTGACTATTTTCAGTAGTACGGTCACTGAAACTCCCAGAACGTCACATTTAACCGACAGCTGCTGGAACTCCAGCCAATCACGGCCGCGGCATGTCGCACTCAAATCAGGAGGCGCGTCACACGTCGGTGCGGTGAGAGACGGTAACACTTTAAATTATTACGCGGCTCATGCATACATTAATAGTGAATGGGAGATGAGCATATAGCCACTTCTTAATGATGGTACTATATGTCTATATGGTTATTCAATTGGAATAGATCTGTCGGTAAGTTATGAATCCGAGGCTTAGAACTAAATCACATTTTTGACTTCCACACTAACATGCGGGTAAATTATTTTTAGTCACCCAGTGATTAAATTTGTTAATAGTCATGTAAGAATTTTAATAACTTTTGACGAGCAAACTAATTATACAGTCGTTGAGAAATTAATGCTTCTGTCGATGTGCAAAAGTGGAACAATCATTGAGGCAAACTAACTGAGTTGAAGGAAGAGACTCGTTTGATTGTGCGCGTTTGGTGCACTAGCTTATGAAAATGATAAAATTATTGAATTGATAAAATTATTTAAGCAAACGTCAACCCCAATGAACTACCGTACCTATACTGAGGGGAATGTAGTAACTATTCGGCGACATAGTAATGTACCAAAAACTGTCAATAATTACTATATTATCTATTTATTATATGGAATTATTAGTATAAAACTAAAATAACATATAAAATTATAATATATTGTATAAAATTATGATTATTTTAGTAAACGTAAAATCTACAAGGCTACGTTACGTACCACAGCTCTCTATTAAATTACAATATATGTGCATATATACAACCAAATATTGAACTTTTTAACATTCTTATCTTCATTAACGATGGATGTATGATTAATTTAAATAAAGGGGATAGTATTATTTATGTTTACCTCCAAAGTCTAAAAGTATTTCAGGTCTATGCGGGAATTAATTTATTTGCAATTAATTACGGAGTTCTATCCTCGAGCTGGAGTTGGATGAAACTGCAGCCGATGATATACCAATACCTGAACCAATCAGCGAACGTTTTGCAAAGTTCATAGTTGGCAATTAGCTGATTGGTTGCAGCTTGTTGCGTCATTTAGTGACTCCACTGACCCCATCGTTGCAGGATGCATATAGGATTAGCAACTGCATACGGGATTAGCAACTGCATATAGGATTAGCAACTGCATACAGGATTAGCAACTGCATATAGGATTAGCAACAGCATACAGGATTAGCAACTGCATGAAGGATTTGACACTGCTATAGGATTAGGCTAACCACGGCTGTGGTGCATGGGGCTAATCACGGTTGTGAGCATCAGGATGATAAACCCTATGGCAGAAAATGCGTCATCTTTTGAACAAAGACCCCCTTGTTTCTCTGAGTGCATGAACCTGCAATATAATCGTAGCGTCTGGAACTTGGAGGACGATGCATTATAAATAATGAAAATGTTTAACTAGTCTTGCAAGTTTATTTAAGAAGGTTTATGCATTGTTCAGCTGTGATCATGAGCTAATTTAGCCAGGGTGTAGTCACTCCTCAAGCCTACTTCATGACTGAAAGTAAATTTTAGCATGACTGAACGTAAATTTTGGCATGACTAAAAGTAAAATTTAGCATGACTGAACGTAAACTTTAGCATTATTGAAAGTAATATTTAGCTTGATTGAACGTAAAATTTAGCATGACTGAACGTAAAATTAGGCCTGACTGAACGTAAAATTTAGCATGACTGAACGTAAAATTAAGCCTGACTGAACGTAAATTTTGGCCTGACTGAATGTAAAATTTAGCATGACTGAAAATAAAATTTAACATGACTGAACGTAAAATTCAGCATTACTGAACGTAAAATTTAGCCTGACTCAACGTAAAATTTAGCATGACTGAACGTAAAATTAAACATGACTGAACGTAAAATAAAGCATGACTGAACGTTAAATTTAGAATGGCTGAACGTAAAATTGGGCCTGACTGAATGTAAAATTTAGCATGACTGAAAATGAAATTTAACATGGCTGAACGTAAAATTTAGCCTGACTGAACGTAAAATTTAGCATGACTGAACGTAAATAAAACATGACTGAACGTAAAATAAAGCATGACTGAACGTTAAATTCAGAATGACTGAACGTAAAATTTAGCCCGACTCAACGTAAAATTTAAAAATTTAACATGACTGAGTGTAAAATTTAGCCTGACTGAGTGTAAAATTTAGCCTGACTGAACGTAAAATTTAGCATGACTGGACGTAAAATTTAGCATGACTGAACGTAGAATTTAGCGAATAAATAAAACGAGAATATTTAATTTCAGGCCACAACATTCAGGAGAGCCAGGCACCAACGGAGCTGAATTATGCATGTTGGGTTCTGGTATAATAGATGCAAACAGCGGTCACTAATTGAGTGTATATCTGGAATAATTTTAGGCATATACATATTTTATTTTCAGAATACCAATCGTATATAATAAGTGATAATATAATAAGTAATTGCCATAATCCACGAAATAAGCACGACGCAACAAAGATATTGCCGGCTTCACAAAACCATTGACAATTATTAACTATGTTCAAACTATTTAAATATCCCACTATTATTCAACTGATTATCTTAATACTTTCTCCTCAGTTTCCAAGTTCAGAATTACTGAAAACTTTCCCCATATTCAGCGTAGATTTACGAGTACGAATTTTCTCTGTCACGTCGTGGTAAACCACTTTATAAATTCTCATCTGTCACGACCCAGAGCGTGATGCTGCCTCAAACTCTGCAGAGCTGGCAGAGCTGGCAGAGCAGCGTGTGCCTGAGAAGCTGCAGCAGAAACGTCGTAAAGTTGGTCCCAGTGGCGTCGTTTGAGAAAATTCTTTCGTGGTTTTCTGAAGGAAACTCCGTCTGCAAACCTCGACTGAAAACCTCTCAAGTTCAGGCGATAAAATGAAGGGAACTAGGGAGCTTGCTTGATACGTGCCCACTGCGACAACTGTGTGTGTCGCGGCTAATTTAATAGTTTCCGCTGAAATTTATTTAGAACTTATGTAGGGTAACAGAATATTTATTGCAGAAACAGTGAAATATGAATAATGAAAAGTTAAGTGGCAACTCGAGTATAATAAATGCATGTTAATAGCAAAATAATCCGTCCAATTGAGCAGTGAAGTATAGTATAAGCCCTCACGTACGAGTATCATTATAATAAAAAAACAGTTCAGTTTAAGTGGGCCCTAGAAAGTAATTTGAGAACTGAGGTATCAATGTTATTACTGTGAGAGAGAACCATTCAGCTCATGTTGAAAAGAAGAATAATGTTGGATCACAGGTTCGAGCTTCACTATAGAAGGAACGTGTTTTGCAATTAAGGCTAGTAAGAATGAAAATTTTTCGTGATTTTGGAGACATGCTTCCTTATTGTCGAAACAGAATAATTTCGAATTCTGCTGATATTTACTTAGTATATGCATAAAAACTATCTGGGCGTCCACTTGCTCAGCCGCCTCATTCATCAGTCAGACTTCATACAGAACAGTGCTCACTTGCTCCTCCCGTGTCCATCAATCAGTTTAAATTCTTTGTAACGCTAGCAGCCAAACCGATTAACGAATTTTAGAGTCTCTTTACATCCATAAACTTAAATCTAAATTGAATAACCAATCCAGCTCTTTTCCTCTTTCGATTCTAGGTTAATTAGTTGTGTTTTTTTCCTTTCTTTCCTTATCATTTTCTAAATTTATTTACTAAAATTGATTTCCATGTATTTCCAGATGTACTTTACTAGCTGATGATGGGCATAGCCCGAAACGTTCTATTTTGTTTATCTAGGACTTCTATTCAGTAAAATGTTTTATGCAACTTTTTTAGTTTTAGCCTTTATTCTTAAACTTAGAAGAACTCCTCGAGATATTAAAAACTATCTGCATATTAGTCTGATAAAAAATAAACATTATTCCCACATATTTTCGGAGCATACATTAATTTTTTGAACTATGTACTTATATTACAATTATGTATTTAACGGTTCTCAAGCCTAATTAAAATATCAATATACAATAAAATGATGATATTTTAGTGAACCTGATTATTTAGAGGAGACTAACGACATGAGCCCTAATGACCTCGTAATGAGGGCAAGCGGTTCGTGTTCAGCCGTAACGAGGGCTCGTGATGAGGGCTTCAGCGTTCCATTTAAATAGCGCTCTGTCAGTCTGAACTTACGGATTTTGGTTACAGTGGGAATTATCGGATCTAAGTCAAATTATTCATGAAAATGCGCTCGAATTATTGTTAGATTTTAAAATTATACTTCTTACTATAATAATACATAATAATGACTGGGCAGGATTTATGGTTCATTACGGTTCATGACATAGTGCATGATTTTATGTTCTTAACAAATTTAGAATCTTGTCCTAATTTAAAGATACAAAAAAACGACTTAAAATCGAATAATAACTTCATGGAACCAGTTGATATTAGTTAATTATTATCTTAATGTAATGAGTTCTTCATTGCATCGTGAACTATAATTTATTATTTATTTTACCATGAACTATAATTTGGTTAATTTTTAACTTCTGACTCCGTCTTTTGAGAACCACGGTTCATATTTTAGTGCATAACATCGCACGAGAGAACCATTCTTCATGTGACGTGGTTCACTGCATCCTCCGTAATAACTCGGGGCTTGGTTCATCACATCACTCAGGAGAACCAATGCACAGGTCCCCATTCTTTCAAGAGAACCAATTTTCAAGTTTCGGTTTTTTGAACTGCTTACGAGAACTTCGCTTCTTACCAAAGTTTGTTAAGGCACTTTATATACCCTCTGGTTGTGCGATATAGTTTCATTGCCTACTAAAAGAGAACCACTTCAGTGAATATACATCAATACATAAATTAAGTTTTCTTAAGAGAACCACTAGAGAGAACCGATAAAGAGAGGCCCTCGGCTCAGGTCACGGTTCATCAGACTCCCTGAAGCGCAAATTAGGTTTTCTTAAGAGAACCACTAGAGAGAACCGATAAAGAGAAACAGAAAACTTCAATAAAAACTCGATTTTAAACTTCAAAGACGTTGTAGGTTTCGTTTAAATTGAACGACCTGCGGCAGGAAATTAGGGAAAGTCGTTTGCTTGAATAATTTTGAGTTCGCAAACATTAAAAGGAGAAAGTCCTTTGCCCCATTTCGGGGATAATTGCTTTGATCCTTTATTACTCAAAACATTAAGAGTATGCACCGTAATTAAAATCATGATTAACCTTAAGTGGGCATCGCAGTTAAAATTATTATTTACATTTGTTACATATTTCGTGTGTTCTGAAATATCTAGAGGATGCCGTTTATTTCAATCTACTACTCATTTATCACCAAAATTTCTAGATATCTCACCGGATTCGAACCCACGGTGCATTAGTATCTAAAATCTCTAGAAATTTCGGCTTATATGTGTCCATCGTTACCCCTCTTAAAAATATATAGAGCCTTGCATGTTGAGTTTACCTGAATTGTGGACGAGGTGTTAATGTACAGTATTACTATTATAAGGGATGTGCAAATAAAGAATATCATAAAATCAAAATGTTATATGATACATTGAATTAGACACAATATCACAAATAAGGTCAACTAACATGCCCTAAATTATGTATTACCGAACTAAGAAATGCTGGCTGAGGGAGGTAACTGAGAAAACGAAAAGGGTCAAAACTGCGAGCTAATTAGCCGCTGCCCTCGGGTTCCGGACCAGATTCTAAGAAATAAATACGAACTCGTAACTCGGTCTGCTAATCAACGATAGATTTGCAAGCTCAATCAGCCTATATCAGCCTACCAGAAAAGATAAATATCTAAACACGATGAAAATAGAATTTGCGCGATACTCCATTTATATTTTTATTATGCGCTCTGTGGGTGTAAGGTTTAAAAATATTTGGTTGAAGCTACAATACTATTAAATGTTGAATTTTCTCTGAGGTAAATAAGTGATCGTTACGCCTCGTAGTATTCAACCCACTAATGTCCAAAGTAGCCACGAGCTGCAGGATAGTGTAAAGTAAAGTTCTTTTTGCACCCCAATTTTTGACTTGTTTACTTAAGTTCATGCGTAGCATCCCGGCTGGCAACCATCCTAAATTATCAAATTAATCCCCTAAAGAAATAGCACTTGTTCTGTGTCAAACTGGTCAGGCATATTTTCTCCTGTGTCAGTTCATCAATAAAGCAATTATACCATCATATATTCGAGAGCAATAATCTCGATTCACACCCGTATTCTGATCCCGCCTCTCCCTGCCCTCTGTGTTCCTTGACATCTTATAATTAACATTATTTACTGGTCTTTACACATTCATTATTTATGAGAGCTTCATTAATTTTGAAACTTCTTATTGTTTTGAAACGTCCCTAACAGCTGCAGTCCCAAATTCCTGTCATGCTCAACAAACTCCGCAATGCATTTAATTTTATTGCACTGCCGATTTTTATTGATTTTATTTTTATTATTTCCAGTAATTATCAAATAGTTTATTATTATCAAATATTCCTCGCAATCATAAACTGAAAATGTACATTTTGATCCTAGGTAAACATATTTACATTTAATTAGGATAAGCGCTTGTTCCAAGGATAACCAAATAAATGTCATTAAATATTTCTTCATGTTTCAAAAATTAGCTATTATTGTCGTCCGTATTCGCTCCGTTAGTTCTAGCAATGCAATACAAATTAAAACTCCGCAGCATTCAATAAGAAAACCAATTAATTCTGTGCATACATTCGCCGTAATTAGTTTATAGAGAAACTCATTTATCTGACTCAAGGCGTAGCTATTTCTTTTGAAGGTTACCTTTTAAATGTATCACTTTCATTAAATATATCTGTGTGTGTATACATACCTACATGAATATTAAAATATGTATAAATAATATATAATATAAAAATTAATATATAAATAACTAGATCGAATCTAGTGAGATTTGATCCGAAATCGGAAACTGAAGTAAATTTGTTTTAATATACAAGTTGAAATCGACTCGTTGAAAAAACAAAAGAGAAAATTGTTAATAAAAAGTCTTTTTTCATTTAAACTTGCAGAAATAAAAGACTAGATATACTAATGGTTTAGTCGTTACCGTAACGATGCTCCTACATTTGCGGTGCAAGTGAATTTAGTTATTTTCGTACCAGCGACTTCACTTCTCTGATCTGCCGTTTGATCCATAAGATATGTCACTATGAATATAAATTATCGGTTCATTTCATTGACCTATGATCGATTACTAAAAGAGTGTTTCGGTTGGGGGTGGGCGTTACGATATTATTTTTTGCATTTGGCTGGATTTGGACGAAAATATTGTAGGATATTGGTTATTTTAGAGCTATCTTTCCAGCCGTTTTTAAGATTGTTCAAAAATATAACTACGATTTGCTAGATCTCCCGATAGCTGCAATAGAACGTCTTTTCTAAAGTGCAAATCATCGATTTTCATTGCCCACTCGTGTCATACGGATTATAATTTCTTTATTATTTCATATATTATCTAAATAAATGAACTGGTGTTGAGAACGTTATTTATTCTTTCATATTTATATGCTTATTCATTTGTGCAAGTCGAGCTTTGTTGTGAAAATTAGGCTAAGGGTCAGGCTGTTGGGGTCAGTTCCTGAAAATCTAAAAAAACTAAAATATCAACAACATGTTAACAATACCGAGAAAATAACAGAATCACTAACCATACCAACAAATGTACATCCACACAGGAGCCTAAATTTGTTCATTAATTCACATTAAATATTTATTTTCAACAACGAGGATTTATTTTTGTGTTGATGCGCACGAGAAGCGAGGTCGCTAGTACGATGCTCTAGACTTCACCATCGCAAGTCCATAGCATTCAGAAGTTTGATATTTTTTCTACTATTAATTCAATTTTCTAACCCGCTGATTGTTTGTAAAATATGTATAAAGGATGAATGTCTCTATTTATTGACGTTGGTGTAGCCTAGAATGCTTCTTGAGCTGGACGGCTGCTTGCTGCTGCATACGGCCAAGTTTAAGAGAATTTTATCTGTGCCGTAGAAAGAATCCGGGTATTTATTTATTTATTTAATAATATCAACGAATAGGAATTTGAATTGTTATTAGAATTTTATCTGTGCAGTAGAAAGAATCCAAGTATTTATTTATTTATTTATTTATTTATATCAACGAATAGGTATTTCAATTGTTGATGTTCTATCGGCGGATTCTTTTTAATTCCATACTTTTTTACTTGGTTTTAGTTACGCAATTTTCAATTATTAGTTTGTTTAGAGTTTTTCAAAAGTTCAATTGATTGTTTATTAAAAAAGAAGCAAGTTTTCTTTATTTTAGTTGTGAATGATCTATAAAAATTGTGTATTTATATTTGTTGAGCTTAGAATACCGATACGGGAGTCAATGAATGAGGTGGAATATCTCAATTTTATGATGGCCGATTGACATTTTGACATGACATTTCTAGGCTTCGGCTTGACCTTTTTGGTCTACATGACATTTGTGGCGTTCAATGGTAATCAATCCTTAAAATCGTAGAGTTTACCCTTAATATGCAGTTTTTATCGACGAGCAGCGAGTTAAGTGCAGTCACTGCCGAGGGCGACTCATTTGTCATATTTCTGACAGAGATCAGGGGCTATACTTTCAAAAATTCGCTAAGTGAACGTAAGTACTTACGCTCTATTTACTTGTCTGTGATTGGTGGATTTTGATTGAAAGGCCGTCAATGATTGGCAGATGAACTTACGATCTCTTAATTTTTTTTTTTCAAGTATAGGCCCGGGCTGGTGGGCTCATTTGTCTACACATGTCTTAACCCGAACTACTATATAAAAAAATCATGTGTCATATACGGAGCTTCGTTGGGTGCTTGACTAAATATCTGGCAGTTCTCCAAGCTCAGGTTAATAAATAATATTCGAACATAAGGTTAATGAATAATATCAGAACATAAGTTATCTCGCGCCACCAAGTTTTATAATATTTGTGGTTCAATGAAACAATTTCCAAGTAGGACGACCATTTCTCAGTCGAATAAATATTTTTTTAGTCAAACAGTAATTCACCTTATAAAAAAGATTCTCTTCTCCTCTAGATATCGTTACCTAATAATCTTATTTCAAGTAAACAATAGTTACTGACCGTATTTGGTACTGACCCTAAAATTGAATGCGACGATTCCTCGCGAATTACAAGCAATATTTTGAAGGTCTTCGTTTATCTCTTGTCAATTTGTTCTTGTTAATATAAATAATAAATAAATTTTCCCCGAATCTATTATCTATTTTTCACGCGAAGGCCCCCATAATGCTATTTCTACGTGTGCAAATCCATATATCTATTTCTACGTGAACATCGAGACTGAGTAGCAAAAAAATTTCGTAATAATTAATTACGAATTAGCTAACCGTACCTGTTTATCTATAATTAAGGGGAGAATGACGGGCTCTAAAAGGAGAGCCATGTGATTGTTTTATTTTGCTCCTTCTCGGGCGCTTCCTTGTAAAGATTGCACTTCAGTGTTGTTCCATAAATGTTAATCGATTTTTTTACATAAAATTTGAAAGAGACCGTTTTCACTTTCATTTATATGCCTTTGCCTCGTTTTTTACCGATGCCCGGCTGTGTGTGCGTGAAAGGGTAATCACTTTTCCTTGATAAGCTACAATAATTTGTGCAGCAGACAACGTGGTATTCATGCTTCAATAATTATGATGACATTCACTAAGTTTTGGATGCATTAATTAATTAAAACCGTTAGATTCACATGCAGTGAGTGGTAATTAGGTTCCAGTATATGGACACTTAAGGTAGGCAGCTTTCAATCCAATTATTCTTAAATCGCAGTGTTCATTAAAATATACTGTACTTATGAAGGCAAGAGCTAACGTCATCAATGTAGCACAGCCATGGTGATACAGAACGTGTAGTTCGGTTTTCTGTATGAAGAATAAATTATGCGTGAAATTATGGATTAAAAAATTTAGAAAATTTCACTTGAGCAAGCGCAATAATGCCAAATCTGTCCGTTCTTCGTAATGAGTTCATTTCCTTATCTATAACAAGCTCAGGTAGGTTATTAAGGCCACTTTCCCTCTCAGCATTAGGTGGGAGGCATGATAACCTGCTTGAGGTTACTGAATATTAATTATGGTTGTGACGCTCAATTTTACTTTACTCGCTAGGAGAGTATAAAAGGATGAAATTTAATGAAATATGAAATTAAAAATTCTCTCAATATGCTCTAATGGCATCTCAATCGCGACAACTTGTCTAGGTATTTAAAACACCTTCGTATTTATGCGTAAATTCTTCATGATGCAATTATGTTCAATAATTAAAGTTTTCAGAACTAATTACACAACCCGGGTGTTCCATTAGAAGTTGCGACACGTTCCTTAGATGTTCGTTGACCTTCGTAGCATGTATGTGTTTATTTATTTTTTTTTTGAAGACCAGTGCTTACAAATGTATGGCCACGCCCTACTATTTCAGGTACCGAAACTAAGCAATTGAGGAAGCGTGACAAGATAAAATTTCTCCAATTTTCAAAAATTTTCCCTCCACGATCCATTTTACGAACAAAACGCGGTAAATACAGCCTGGGCAGATGCAGTCTGTGCTGATTGGCGACTCAAGTGTCGTATAATATTCTATTCTATTCTATTCTATTCTATTCTATTCTATTCTATTCTATTCTATTCTATTCTATTCTATTCTATTCTATTCTATTCTATTCTATATGGTGACTATCTATGGGGGATTGAATAAGTTGACGTGAAACCTTTAGTGCATAAGTGGTTGTAAACAGAGCTATCAGTAAACAAAGCTCTCAGCTTGATGATGCATATGTTACGTACATTCAATATGAAATCCTTTGTTACTTTCACCCTATCTCTTTTCAGTAAGAAAGTGACAGTAACTTGAGTAAGTCTATAACATGCAGTCTGAGTATGTTGCTATGTAGCCATAAGAACATTAGTAGATACTATGTACCTACTTTCAGACGTAGGCCTAGATGAAGGAGCCCTTGCAGAATTTTTTACGAATGATAAACTTATCATTGCCCTATTGAATGATTCAATCGCTAATAATAATTTTTACCGAATGAATATAATTTGTTCCATTTCGATTTAACCATGCGTTTTCTCTCCGTGGTTTGTTGAAGAGCAGCCTGAACAAGTTTTTTCTATCAGAAAATAAATTCCTAGAAAACTAATTGTATGGTAAACTGCAGAGCTGGGAATGCAGCTGCCAATAAATAATAATTGAATCTGTTATTTCCAATTATTTTCTATTTAGCCAGCATATTCTGTAAGCGCATACATCATCATTCTTTCAATAGTATTCATGCATATATTAAATTGATATACAGGGCACATGACTGAATTAAACTGTAAAATTCCGGCAGAGGCGTTAGCATGACTATTTGGTTCAAAAACAATATAGAAAGGCGTTAGGATGAATATATGGTTCAGGTTATGAACTTTGAACTATACATTAATACAACAGAGCCACTGAAGGCACCTGAAGAGTAGAAGCCTTCAACGTTCAGCTAATATATAATCCTTGCGTCAAAAATCTGTATTCCAGTACCTAAAATCTTTGCTGAACTACTTTGCATCAATTACTCCAATTGATTGAATGTCAGGTGCGAGATTTACAGTTTGAATCATGCCACGAGAGATTTGCTTAAAATGAAATTATATGTCTAGACGATAAAAAGCAACACATTGACGGGAAAAAATTGATTAAATTGCGAATAATGCATATATTTCGGAAGGCGCATAATGTTGAAAAAACAAAGTTCTAAGGAATAAGAAATAAGTAACGTATTGATTTTTAAGAGTAGGCCTATAGCCTACAGTTGTGTCGACTTAAGATCTATTTTAAAATTTAATGCAAATACCTATGTTTTTAAAACTCGCCACGGCTATATCAACCATGTTATCCATCTGTATATTATATTTGCTAAGCATATGCAGAGCCAAAACATATAAAGAGAAAATTTTCAACATTTTTCATGTATAGACATTTTATAGAAGAGTGATCACCTACAGTCGAAACGAATTAGGGGAAATCATATCTTGTTAGGAATCTCTGACTAATGGCTGTGTTGGAAATATTTTTCATTGAAATTTAAGCAATCACACACTCGGATACTACATTGGTCTCGTATTATGTTTAGGACTCTTTATCGGGAAAAAAACACAGTTCATTTCATAAGTGAATCGCGTTTTTCTCCTGTAATAAATTAAATAATAAATAAAATTTTCTTCTTTCTTGAGGTTTCAGGGCAATGGTTGTGGGGCTGGCATGCAAGGAGTACTGTAAGAACATTAAAAAATTTGAACCTCCGTTCCGTGCATGGCATTTTATCACGGAATCTGACGAAAATCATATGCCACCATGATTGTTATAAAGAGACACTTTCAATCAATCTAAGGCCGTACTAATAAAATTTTCTCAGGAGCACGTAGCGACCTAAATATACAGAGCGGACTGAGTGCACATATCAGACTAGATACACGGAGCGGCCATAGTGCATGTCAGGGCCGAAGTACACGTAGCGGGTGATTTTTCATCTGCGATTGGTGGGTTTAGCATGAAATTCCGTCACACATTGACTGCCGTAGTTACGAGCTTATGACTATTTTCGGTAGTACCTTTACTGAAACTCCCGGAACGTCACATTTAACCGACAGCTGCTGGAGCTCGAGCCAAAACCCAGCCGCGTAATATCGCACTCAAATCAGAAGGTGCGTCACACGTCGGTGCGAGTGATACAGTAACACTTTAAATTATCACGCGGCTCATGCATACATTAAAAGTGAATGCGAGATGAGCACTTAACCCTTTCTTAATGACGGTTACTATATGGCTATATGGTTATTCAGTTGGAATAGCTCTGTCCGTAAGTTAAGAATCCGTAAGCCAAGTCTTAAATCACATATGTAACTTCCGCACAAACATGCGGGTAAATTATTTTATGCACCCAGTTTCTAAATTTTGTAATAGTCATGTAAGAATTTTAATGACTTCTGACGAGCAAACTAATTATACACTCGATGGGATCTTATTGATTTTGTCGATGTACAAAAACGGAACAATCATTGAGGCAAATTAATCGAGTTGGAGGAAGAGACTCGTTTGATTGTGCGCATTTTGGGCCCTAGCTCATAAAATTGATAAAATTATTGAATTGATAAAATTATATAAATCAGAAAATTATTGAACTATACCTCAACTTAAGTCTAATACAGCAACTGTTCTGAGAGGAGCATAGTAACCATTTTGCGACATACTAGTACACCAAATACTGTCTATAATTATTTTACTATGTGTGTATCTATGTATGTAAATGTGTATCCATGTATGTATGTATCTATGTATAATAATTTTATACCATCAAAACTAGTGAGTTTTCATTAGTTTTATACTAATAATACCATATAAATATGGTACCAATTGTATAAAACTATTGAAAATTCACTAATTTTGAAAGTATAAAATTATAATTATTCTAGTTAACGTAAAATATACAAGGCTGCGTTACGTACCATAGCATTATATTAAATTACGATATATGTGCTTTGTGCATATATATCTCTCTCCAAATATTGAACTTTCAACACTGTTAT